TAACTCGGTTAAGAAGAAGCCTACAGACCAGAAACGAAATTAGTGCAGGGGAGCAATGCCTAAGGTATTTCCACCACGCATGATGTGAACGGAGGCCCGCCCACAATGGGCGGAGCGTGTCGTGAAGCGGACAGCGTTTTCTACAAGAGCTCATAAATCGGCTCCGAGATGACTTAGAGACCGGAAAACAACGGATAGAGGTCAGGAGGGGAGGGGAAGCTAAATGTCAGGGATGGGCGTGGCTTACATCAAAGTGGGCGGAGTTTGCAATTAGGCTTATAACTCGGTTCCTAGGAGTCCCGGAGTCCGGGAAAAAAGCGTATGAGGGTTGGCAGAGGGAAAGGGGTCAACCGTTGTTGGCGGGCGGAGCATGCACCAAAGTGGGCGGGGTTTGCCACGGTACTTCATAACTCGGTTCCAATAAGTTCCAGAGATGGGAGAAAAGTAGAAAAAGGTTGGGGAAGAGATGATAGCCGACTGATATCAGTGGGCGACCCACGCACCAAAGTGGGCGGGGTTTGCCACAAAGATACGTAGCTCGATTTCGTCCCCTACAAGACCTCATAATTCTGCTCCGAGACGACTTAGAGACCTGAAAAAAATACGCCAGAGGTGAAAGTAGGAGTAGAGGTTGAATGTGAACGCTGGGCGTGGCACACCCGGATGTGGGCGGAGTTTGCCACCGCTCTCATAACTCGGTTCCTAGAAGTTCCGGCGACCGGGGAAAATGTGCATAAGTATTGAGGTATGGAGTAGGGTTGAATGCCATTGTTGGGCTAAGCATGCACCAAAGTGGGCGGGGTCTGCCTCAGAAATTCGTGACTCATAACGCCATTTACAAGACCTCATAATTCGGCTCCGAGATGACTTAGAGACCTGAAAAAAATACGCCAGAGGTGTCGCGGTTCGCGACTGTGGTCCCGGGCGCACCGCGCGCTTGGGGCACTGCTGTGCAGCAGGCGCCGTGGCGTTGCATGCACCGACTATAGGGGCATGCTCCGCCTCCGGTCCCGCCTCCAGCCGGGACTACTTAAGCGAGCCGCCTCTGCCAGTCGGCGCACTTCGCTCCCTCCGGGAGGAGCGTTGTGCCGGGCAACGCTAGGAAGCTGGACGGCTCGGAGTGCCACTGGCACTCGGCAGTATGGTCCGGCATACTGTCCCGTCCTGTCGGAGCGCTGGCAAGCCAGCGTCCGCTACACCGGATGGACGCTGCCGGCTGCAGGCGCCAGCAGTGCGCCACTTACCGCCGACGACCCGATGGATGGACGACGCGATGGCTTGGTACCTCCAAGCCCGGCAGAGGATAAGAAGAGTAGGTCGTCAACTTGTTGCCGCCAATATCGCCAATAAATGTAAGTATATTAAGTGTAGTTGTTGTAGTTGGGTTGTAGTTTGGGGAGCGCCAGGGCAGGGGCCCGACTAAGGCGCAATAGGCTTTTTCTTGTGCTGTTATGTTGTGTGGGTTGGTAGCCGGGGCAAGGGAGCCCTCGGCCCTTGGGCTGGGAAAGCCCGGGCCGTCGGTGGGCCTTGCCCCCGCGGGTTACCGCTTACCGCGACCCTTAAACCCCCCTTCCCTGGGTTAGGAACCCGTGACGCCCCGGGGAGCGGAGGCCATGCTTGCGGGAAACCAGCATGGTCCCCGGGAAGGACCCGTAGGATGACGTGTGCCTGGGAAAGGCCGCGAGGGCCCCGAACCACCTCGATGCGTCGTGTTGGAGGGTTAGGAGGGCGACCGCTCCCGAACCACGACAGAGGTGAAAGTAGGAGTAGAGGTTGAATGTGAACGCTGGGCGTGGCACACCCGGATGTGGGCGGAGTTTGCGGCGTAAGTAAGATGTACCGAGCAGAAAGCTAAAATCAAGACAAAAATACTGATGGGCCCGATTTTACCGCTGAGCCCCGTCTCATGCACGCGAATGCGTGCGCAGCCAAACTGGTATTACATATCATAAGGAGTATACATAATCACTGCAGCCTCAAGCTGGCACATTATTTCTTCAGTTAGGTAACCGATGAAAGTTTCCTACCTAGTAGCTCTAGGACCCCTTCCAACCGCGTTTCGGCTGTCGTTGAGGATCTTTCAACCCAAATCCTGGATCATGTATCAGTGGCGATTTTTCCGATATTATCGTATAGAGGGTTAATATAATATGTGGTGGGATTTCAAGTTCATTATATTAGGGTTGTCCCCCAAAGTCGTGCGTGTTTTGAACTTTTTTCAAGCCTAATTTATATTAAGCACAAGCACTTTCTGTCATCAATCTTGCACCATCACTACAAGTGATTCGTTGCCAACGAACAACCGAAGAGTCCCGCTTCATTCCCAGAACTGTGGCATTTTTTTTGGCGGCTACGAGCTGAAAAAGGCAGTGAGGGCGATTTTGAAGTGTTTATGGGAATCGTGTTTTTGTTCACAAGATGAGTTCTGAGCAAGAAGAGCAGACGTAATTCGGAAGGAACCTGATCACCGCTGCACGTTCCGCTTGTGGTTTTGACATGGTAGGCGTTTAGTTAAGGTTCGATGTGTGACGCCTCGTCATTTTTTCAATATGGTAAGGTATCGTTGCGCTGTCTGGAGGGCGGACATTACGTTTCCAATGACTTACTACAGTGCTTAGAGTTTCAAAGATGACTCTCTACAGTTGCTCACAATAAAATCACGAAATGGAAGCTTCAAATATGGGCAAGTTAGCGGCTTTTCTTTCAACCAAGTGGCGATACGGCCCTCTGAGCGAAGAAGAAATCTATCCTATTCTAATATCTCATGGCTGGCAACGACAAAGGGATGTACAGCAATGCAAACGTTACTTCTAGTGTCGATCATGTGTGGCTTACGGATGGTGGAAGATCTTGAGTCAAGCGTTAAAACATGGCTCTTTTCTTTCTCGTTCGAATTCAGGATGGTTATGATTCAGTTCATAAGTCACTACAATTCGCTGTGTGCCTGTTCCCAAACCTCACAGTTAAGCCTAAACAGAAATTGCAATAAAGAACTTTATGCTCATTGAGAAACCAAAAATTTACACATGATTTGAAACAACCTGATCTGATGGGAATCTTTACGGCTCTGTGCATGTGATTTAACTCCGCTGTGCAGTAGAAGAGAGCGCCACCTTTTTTACATGACTCACCGCCAAAAGCGACACGCAAGGTTTGGGATTCGAGCAATAAAGTGATACTAGGCTTAGCGTTACTATATAAGCTCTGCTGTGCAACAGCTGAACTAATTCCATCACAATGTAAGCGTTTCAACCATATCTGGATGACAGAAAGCAAATCTGAGAGAGAATGTGAGAGTTCCTTCGTAGACTCAAGCTCGACACTTCCAAAATACGACCAATTATCAGCTGTGTAGATAGACCAACCCGAAGGAATTTCGTGGTTTCTAAAATGCATTGTAACTTAATTGTTGAAACAACGGTGAAACACGGTAAAAGTACTGAGACTTTTGGAGCTTGGCAAAAGCACAATGACTCTCATGCTGCGGAATTCCGCTTGGTTGTTAACATCCTTAAATTGGTCAGTCTCCAAAGCTGCTCACCTAATTAGGTTTGGCATGGGTCCAGGATATTAGGTCCCGTAAGTCTCTTCAGGAGCAGAGTTGAAGAGCCTACTGGCTTACCGCCGACGTATTGTAAGTATCAGATGACTGCTTCATTGTGACTTTGACACTGTTCGAAATGGATGAGTGTTCCCGTACTATGAATGAGCAGTCGCCGTACATCACTTTTGGCGAAACTTCAAGACGGTCAGCTCCCCCCACATCAGCACACAGGTCAGAGTGTCTAGCGGCATCGTACACGTGAAGTGGTGTCGAAAAATCAAGTCAAGCAGATCTTGATCCCGCTTGCTCAACCCTCTACTTCTAAACGCGCCGCTTTTTGGAGTATGTACAGAATTATGCAGTAATGTGGCCAAATGAGAAGAATGAAGGTGAATTAGCTTTCGAGTATAACTCACCTCGGTCAAATGGCTATACGGTATCACATAACATTAGACGACCCCACGCTGAACAGCAGGAACACGTCTCGCGACAACAAACTTCTATGTTCTGACCTCTAGCTTGCCTTTAACCTCAGTAGGTATCGGCTGCGATAGTGATGTTGTTGGGCACAACGGGCCAACTTATGGCACAGCGATGATGCTATTGTAGTTAACATTCCGAAAACATCATGCACTAAATTGTGAGAGAGACCCTACGACACACAGCACTTCAAAGCCTTGCATGTCCGAATGGAAAAATGGAGATTGCGCTTCTGTGGGCGTAATTTATCAGATTCAGTTGGAGGCATGCAATGCAACTTACATAGGGGAAACTGGTAGAGTTTTTTATCAGTATCGAATCAAAAAAGCATCTAGCTGGTGAACGGCGCAACAACGTGTGGACTTCGTTGGGAACACGGAATAGAACAACATCATGGACATGATCTTAACATCAGGTGTACGATGGCTCACGAGACGGTGATTTTGCTGGGAAAAGCTTAAGAAGCGTCCTGAATTTCAGATAGAAAGCCAGAGATGAATAATCGAAACAACAGTGTCTATCACAAATGATCTCTTGCTATTTTGCAGCACTGCGAGTTAATTCTGAACGCGGACATGCTTGTGCCGCAATATTAAATAGCCGCAAAAAGACTGACTTACTGAAATCTACTGACTGTGTGTAGCCCGTTACACATCGCGATGAAATAAGGTAAGCTTGTCTTTTGACTTTTGAATATTTCCTATGCGTTTCTGACAGAACGTCAGAAATTTGAGCGGTGGAGACGTTTAGTGTGATGTGCAATTCGCAAGCTTAAAGCTATTTTTGAAATTTAAAAACGACGGGTCCGTCGGCGTTGGCCAGAATGAAACTTTCCACCTAACAATCTCGAGGGAGAAAAGTAAAATCACAACCGGCCTAAATTCCAGAACTTCGAACAAGAAATGTCCACCTCTGAACGCGAAATAAATTTAGAGTGGAAATGACGAAAACACAAATTCCGTCCAGTTCCTGACAGCTCCTCAACTTTTATTTCGGCGACCTTTCTATCTAGTGATGCTTGCTTATATGCACATAAGGACAGAAATGTAGAAAAAGCCAACCTCAGCAAGTAGCTCCATGACCGATGCTCAATCAAGTTCAGGATAAACTTTTCGCTGACAAGTAAAGTGGCATACTCCGGTTCCACTAGGAGATCTTGGAACAGCGATAGAGCAAAGCATTCCATTAAGAGATGTAGATGCTGTTCAAGAACAGGACAACCGGCCTCACGCAGAGCGCTTACATTGAGTTTGCATCCACTTTCTATTGCCGTCGATAATAGGTCACCATTTGACCATATCTGAACAAAACTCAGCAGTCGTAATGTTGTCAAAAAATCATTCTGGAAGACTTCAATTTCGAATAGTGATACGATAAGTAATATCTATGCTTTCCTTCGGAGATTCTTGACCGCCTCTTGAACACTCCCAATATATTATGGAGCTATCCCTGAGCCTCATAAATGTCTATAGTATAATATAGTCTTATGCTTGATGTCTTGTTAGGTTGAGAAAGGTGTTATCACAGCGAAAGCCAACCAATAAATCTAACATCAAGAGTCCTCAAGAGATTTCAAAAACAAAGATATACTCCCAATATAATTCAATTCTGCTGTCTGATGCTAATCGTAAGTCGAAATAGAAATGTAGCCGAGAATTTAAGCGGCCAAGGCACAATAATCCTACCTCAGACTGAGGCATGTAGCAGTGTGGAAGAAAGCGAATAAGAAGAAGAAGGAGTTCCTTCTCTTTTGTCTCCTTCAAAGTCAGAGCAACAATCAGGCAACACACTCTGGAATTCTGAAAGAAGAAAATTATGAAGGAACTTTCACTTTCCACATAATTACTTATTCTCTGCAAAATCAAACAATCTCACTTGATGTTGCATACCAGGTTTGAAGCCACAATAGAAAGAAACCGCTGATTCGAGTTTTCCGCCTTGAGCTGCATAATTTGGCCAGCAACACCAGACAATGACACTGAAATAGAAGCGTATGTCCTCGATAAGTAGTGGTGACTGATGAGGGTCATTAAACTACGTGCCCAGACCGCACTCGTTTTTGCTGTCTGGCTTGTAGGACCGCGCGAATGTGAGATGACATCATGTCACACCGTCCCATAAGAACACCTTTTCTTGAGGAACTGTTTGTTTGTTATCTTTACAGTGTGGTAGATCTCGATTATGCAGTTTAGGCCATTTCAGCTATTCCTGCGATTTGAGAGTGCGTAGAAAGGGCCAAAGCTGACGTGCGATTAAGAGGGTACCCTCCTAGGATCACTTCCTGGTCCCTGTATCTCGAGCTTATAGATGATCGTTGGATTAAAGGACCTACATGTCGAAAACCACTCACAGACTCGAAGGTTTGCGGGAAAGGAGGAACGGAGGCAAAGGAAAACGTTCACAGACAACGCAGAAGCGGCTACAACTATGCAGGATCAAAGGACGCGCATATGTCCGTCTCCGACCAAAAGTGTCCTCACCCATTGTTATTGCAAACATTTTTTGTACCGATTAATTTCAGCCTAAGCACAAAAAGTGCGACTACTGATCATTATTCAAACATTTTTGAAAAACTCGATAGCCCATTAACCGAAGCTTCTTTCCAGGGACCACGCCTTTTGTAACAATGCCTAAGTATGGCGCATACATCACGTAAATAAGTTACCTAAAATGTTTGAAAACCAGCTTAAAAAAGACTGTGACATGACATCATGTCACACGGTCCCACGTGGCCGAAAGAGTGTGGTATGACATCATACCACACGGTCGTCAACGTGTTAATGACAGGGAGCACTTCAAGCCGATTCGTAACACGTCCGTAAAAAAACTTCGGTTTTCCTGCGCGCTTTTTCGAATGCTAAGCAAGCCGTCGAAAATCTTCAGAATTTAACAGCCTCTCTAAACAGTATCGAATTTTTAACATTAACTAGTCGTGCAAAGGGTGATTCGCACATCAAAAACAACGCGTTAGTAAAGGACCCAGCCTTGGACTCCCATTGGTACGATAGGGCAGGACTTAGTTGTGATTGTTGTTTCCCAATAGTGTTATTCTTTGCACTCTTGTATGACGTCAACAAGTAGAAGCAGAGCGGCAAAGAAATGGTTAATTGGTTTTAGTATTTGGTCATCAAAGTTCTGTTAATTTTGTTTCAGCACGAAACATGAATCTAACAGTCTGAATGAAAAATGAGCCCAAAGGAGGCGATCGCGCAGGTTTGCAGGTGGAGCATGTTCCAAGGGTCATCAACCGAAGGAATCGAGATAAGAGCTGAGCTCGACGAGCGTAACTCCACGGAAGATACGATACAATAGGATTAAAAGAAATAGCTTCTCGGAATGAGGTGTATTTAGAATAAAAATTGGACGATAAGATTAACAGCATCATTTCAAGTGCGTTGCCATTGTATCCTCTTCCATGTCCAAAACGTAGGCCATGCTAAAATCCGAAACGGGCTCCGACGACTTAGCATGCCATTACTAGGCATCACTGCCTTTGAAGCGCTACTCATCGTCTTACTGGGAGTCTCCTAGCCAATTCTCTACGTGAGCTTCCCATTCGTCCCCACGGGATTGTCGCAACCACATTCTTTGGGTGGTTCGCTTTACAAGCGGACTTAAAGGCAAGAATCAGGATTAAATTGATGGGGTATTCCACTCAAATGTGAAAGTAGGGGTGGGAGGTGGACCGCCAGTGGAGAAAAAGGAAAGAAAATCCTGAAATACACAGGAAATACGAGCATTTTGCTCTATGCTGTGGAGAAGTTCAAAAGACAGGCAGGGAGATGAGAGATAATGTGAGCGCGGAGAGCGGTAGAGAAGTCCGAGAAGAGAGAGCATAGCAGATCAACGTGGCGACGCAGACAAGATATCGAACGGTGGGCGGACCATGTTAAGTTTGGTGGAGTCTGTTAGAAGTCCATGGCGCCTAGGGTCCTAGTGACGCGTTTCGATGTAGAAAGGTGGCGCTACCTTTGCACTTGCGTACCCAGCACTTCTAGCCATGGTAAGGGCTTCTTAGGTGGGTCTGAGCCCGAACTTTGCCTTTATCAGTTTCACAACTCTGTGAAAGGAATTACATATATGGGTGTTTGCGGCTGTTGTGTCTAGTAAGTGAAACGCAAATGCTACTGTGAGGAGTCGACCAGCACCAACACAAAATGTTCATTGGTTTTCTGGGTTCAGCGCTTTTTGATGAGCCCTGAGAATGAAGTATTCCCTTAGTTTTCACAGCGTAGCATTGGAAACGATTGTAATCCATTTCTCCGCCGAATCGAATGCCTTCTCTCTACATATTCAGACGACTGTCGTGACGCTGAGCGTAAGGCACCAGCACGAAGAAAGGACGCTATATGACTGAGCACACTGTCTGAGATGTAATGTACCTTCAACGGTGATACTCACTATAAGGGAGAGCAATCACATGCAATTTTGTGAAAGTGCTTAATAATTACTCAATACCATTTGCCACAAATGCTATTCTTTACCTTCTTGAATATCGGTCACGATGCTCACAAGGTATTTGCTCAGCTTCTTAGCAATCATTTTAGTTTCACCTTCATAAATGTCGCAGACCATCCCACTTCAGTGCGATTGAAAGATTTTCAAATAGAAGCACTCTACAGTAATATATACCTCCGAGCCTGATCTCGGCTTCTGAAAAAATTCCCAAATTTTAACCCACCTTTCTTGCCAGCTTTTTCAAAGAAGATCAGTGGAACACTGGACGGGCCGTCGATAATCTCAGGATAGTACGTTGGACCACACTGAAAACCAAAGTCTTAGTATACGGTCGAATATTGGTCAGTTTCACGTATCCTTTCTACTAGATTGTGACTACATATCTTCGAAAAAGCATTTTTCTTACACACGTCGCAGTCAATGGAAAGGCATTTATTATCTACGGAGGGAAATCAACTCTTCACTGCGGGAGCTGGTCCAGATCTCCCAGGAACAGTTCGGGTTCATGCCCGAAAGGTCTACAACGGATGCCATCTTCATCGCTAGGCAAGTGATGGAGAAGTATCGAGAAAAGCGCCGACCTTGCTACCTAGCCTTCCTCGACCTGGAGAAGGCGTTCGACCGGCTACCGCGAGCAGTACTATGGAGATCGCTCAGGGAACGAAACGTGCCAGAACACCTGATCTCTCTGGTGAAGGACATGTACGATGGGGCTAAGGCAGCTATACGCACCCCACACGGCCTAACGAAGGAGGTGGACATCACGGTTGGGGTGCACCAAGGGTCAGCTCTGAGCCCGTTCCTCTTCCTCCTAACACTAGATGTCCTGGTGAAGGGGCTCATGGAGGGACCACTGAAGACCATCCTCTACGCTGACGACATCGCCTTGATAGCGGATAGCAGAGAGGAACTTCAAGCCAAGGTGCAGAAATGGCAGAAAGTCCTGGCAGAAGGTGGGCTCCGGCTGAATGTCAAGAAGACCAAGTTCCTGAGCTCTGAAGAGGGTGCAGAGCCGATCGTGGACGGCCATGGTGAGACCATCGAAGGACTTCCGATACCTTGGGAGCGATCTGGCAGCCGACGGTAGTGTGGATCAGGCAGTGAAGGCTCGGTCAACGCTGCATGGATGAAATGGAGGGAGTCCACTGGAATCCTCTGCGATCGAAGGTGCTCCAGAACGCTCAAAGGGAAGGTGTACCGGACAGTGGTAAGGCCTGCGATGCTCTACGGCAGCGAGTGCTGGCCCCTGAACAAGAATCACGAAAGGCAGCTTCACTCCGCCGAAATGAGGATGCTGAGATGGGCCTGCGGCTGGACGCGGCTGGACAGGTTAGAAACGAGGATGTCAGAGCGGTCATGCAGACTGCCCCTGTCCAGCTGAAGGTACGAGAACAGCGTCTGCGATGGTATGGGCATGTGCTAAGGAGGCCACAGGACCATCCGATAAGAACAGCGATGGACTTCGAAGTACAAGGCAAGCGACCGCGAGGAGCCCCGAAGAAAAGGTGGAAAGACGTAATCAAGAAGGACCTAGGTGAGGTCGCGGCCACGATGGAAGATGCCCTGGACAGAGCAAAGTGGCGACGGCTGACAAAAACAGCGGACCCTGCGACTGCGCGGGACTAACGCTAGGGAGAAGAAGAAGAAGAAAGAAATAAAAAAAAAAAAGAAGCGAATAACGATGATAAGGAAGTTTGGATGTTGAGTACTGCTAATTTCGTTGCAGCCTTCGTGGTGACAGTAAATATTAGCTCCTACACGTTGCCTGGAGGTTGGGACCGGGACACCGATTGCGAACAGTATGAACTGATAACAAATGACAAGGAATGATAAGAGCGTTTGAATGCAGGTCTCTCCAACTTCGTTGCAATTATCACTGGCAAGCGATCAAGGTGGCGAGGGTTGAATGTAGGTGACAGAAAGTGGTATGAGCGGCAACTGTACTGATAAAAGTAGCGACAGTTGAGCGTGCACTCAATTGAACTAAACCAGGTCCCTAGCACGTGAATATGTTCCATTCCTACCCATCTAAAGAAGCAAAGACTATCTGGACTTGGACCAATAGCGAATTTCCATTATATTTCCAATTTCCATCATAGCTCGGTTAGATGCTGATTGATTGGTTATATTTCACTTACACACCGATTCTTCAATTGTGGAAATTCTATAAACCGCTAAATCATCCGAGCTCGATATCAATGCTAAATGTTTACGAAGTCATGATAAGTACAATTTCATTCCGCATGCTACTGCGCGCATTACGCTACAATCTTCAGCAAAATTGGACAGCCTTTGAAATTCATGTGACACATCTTCCAAACATCTTACTGTTAGTTTCTCAGCCACGTGACCTAATATTCAAACCAGTTTCACTAAAGCCTACCATGTGATGCGCGGTTGCGTGCGGAGCTAAACTGGTAATACTATAATGAACTGCAATACATCCAATGTTAGTAATCAATAAAAAATTAATGCCGGGTCGCTTTCTTCAACCCGCCGATCGATCATAAATTATTCGGATTAGGAGACATCGAACAGAATGAGGTCTAAGGGGCGAGTCTGCAGAGCCGAC